CCAGGACCTCACTTTGCTTTGGGGCCTGACCCTGTAAATGCTTCTGGCAATGTGTTTCCTGTCACACAGCGCCAGGTCAGGATTCCTGCAGGGTGAGTCCAACCACCAAGGGTGGACCCACACTCAGGTGCCGCACAGACTAAGGGTCAGGGGGTGTTATTTGGCCATGAGCTGAGCTGTACACATGGGCAGAGGGCTTTGCCCTTCCGGTCAGCCAGGTTACCAGAAGTGATCATTGCTGAAATGATCATTAAATAATCCAGAAGTCTGCCCTTTTCTCCTTTCTTCCGCGAGTCCAGAGGTCGGTAACCCAGGCATTGGCTCGTGGCTGTTCCTGCCTGGTGTCCCTGTGGTAAAGCTGCTCCTACATCAAGGACCAAGACATGCTGTGCCTCCCCCAGTAGCCTTCTGCACCAGTACTTGTTGCTGTACAGGTGCTGCTCAGCTGAGGTGTTAAAGCTCAAGCTGAGTGCTACATCATTTAATCCATGGCCAGTGTACACTTCGAAACATCCACGAGCTGCAGGTGGGCATTAAGTAGTTCCTCCATTGTATTCAGTTTTTAGGGCACACTTAGACACTGGTGATGCTTTTTAATGTCTGATTTATTAGGTAAATGGTCTTGTAATATTCTGTGCTGAAGAGGGAAGTGAAGAGCAGCTGAGCAGTACCACCATTTCTAGATGTTACTGGTGGTGGGTGCTTTTAGTCAGAACTGGAAACCACAGAGGACCTGTGACCTTTTATAAGCACTCAGCAAAACACTGAGTTACTGCTGGTCAGTTAAAAGCAGTTTTGTGTTTAACAGTTCTCAGTGATTGTTTTCAGACACAGATGAGTGAGGAGTTACCTGGACAATGTGCAGTTGTCCAGCCAGAGCTGAAGCAGCTGCAGTGGAGATGAATGCAGAGAGGCTCATGTGGCAGAGGAGATCAGCAGATGACAGGGTACTTGCCCAGGGCCTGAAAGAGGAGCTCAGGATGAATGTGGTTAGTTTTGAAACAGCAGATGTGAAGGGGACAAAGCAGAGGGTTAAACCATAAGGAATCAGGCATGAGGGAGTGATGGCCAGGTGGAGATCCAGCTCAGACACAGAACTGGAGTTACATGAGCCAGGCATCAAGGAAAAGCAGCCAGGTAGCAAGGAGAACAGCCAGCAGAGGTTGGTTTCTAATCTCTTGCCTTACATGAGACATTCTGTAGAGAAGTCCTATTTTAGGAAGAAATTGTTCCCTGTGAGGGTGGTGAGGCCCTGGCTCAGGTTTCCCAAAGAAGCTGTGGCTGCCCCTGGATCCCTGGAACTGCCCAAGGCCAGGTTGGACATGGCTTGGAGCAACCTGAGCTAGTGGAAGTTGTCCCTGCCCGTGGCAGGGCAGGGAACTGGATGATCTTTAAGGTCCCTTTCAACCCAACCATTTCTCTGATTCTACACATGGAGAAAGGAGACTGTGACCTCATGTGGGGTTGCAAAACCCCCCAGCTATTCTTCTGAACAGATCTGTTTATTCTTTCCTCTCTGCTTTTGCAAGAGGCCCTTGTGCCCTTTAAAAGCACAGTAGGAGTTTGTGGGTAATGTACAGAACTAACAGAGACAGAAACCTGAGCAGTTCAGAGCGTCCATTCTCCTCGAATGACTTATGGGTTTGACTCATGGGGTTTTGTTCCCAAGCACAAGAGAAGTTTTGTTCTAGCAGTTCAGCAGGTGGGGCAGCATCTTCATAAAGAAGATACATCAATAACCTGTAGTCTTAATGATATATGGCCCTTTGGGGAGTACTTATGTATTTACACATCAAAAATAATCATGCATAGGGCCCTTTTAATGCTTTTGAATTACTATATATAATTTTTTTGTTCCTAAATGATTTAATTACAGGTTAAGGAAGTTTGGGACATGGACACTGTGTTACATGCAGAAATACATGCCTTTGTTCTTGATAGACCTTCTCCATTTGCAATGGTATTCAGGACTCAAATCCTCATTTTCCATGCCCTGAGAGCAGGGCAGGCTCTTGTCATAATATAACATTGTCATCCTTCCAGAGATAATGATGTGACTTGTTGCATTTCAAAACAGTGTGACTGAGATGAGGATTTGATCCAGCAGCTCCACTCTTCTGAAAGTACAAAGGTACTTGCAAATATTTGGTATTGAGCTATTTTGGCCCTCAACTGAGAAATAAATAGGTCAGGCAAGGCCTTTGAAAGGAATTTAATAGATACATCTCACACTCGCAGAGAAGCATGAAACTCTCCTGCTAAAATGAAATTGGGTTCATGAAAGGTCACAGTTATCTTTTAAAGCAAGTTTTTGCATGTCTGCAGAGCAAATATTGCATTAAAGATAAGGGGAGAGTCACTGTTTTACTGATAATGCTCTGAATTTTCTTTTTTTCCTCCAAACTGTGGTAGAGCTTCCTGCAAGCTGAGCAGCCAGCCTGCTAGATATGACTTTTGCTTTGTTGGTCCGTTGTGACAAACCAGCACGGCATCAAGTAAATACAAAGAAGAACCATGAGCTGCCAAAATAACAGCAAAAAACTTTTTATTTATTATTGTATTGGTGACTTTTAAGTCCTGTCATCAGTTTTTCATAAACTATTTTGGCAGGAATAGCTATCCCAAGCTGGCTTAACTCTGAAGCTAATTTTGCCTTTATAAGCATAATCACTTACAAGTTTGGTGAAGGGTCTAAAAAGGACTTCATATAACTTTAAATATATATAGATATTGATGTAGATAGGTGTATAAATGTTTAGATGTATCTATCTTTACATACAGATATATGAAATATTTATATTCTTATATATAAAGTATTATAACCATGCTTTCCTCTATCCTAAACTTCCACCAGAAGTGACTTCCTACTGAATTTGGTGTCACGCAAGCCTGTGGCCCAGTGGATGGGGTAGAAACCCGTGGTGGAGAGATAAGGGTTTAAATGCACCCTCAGGGCTGGCAGATAAAGCGAAACAGCAGCTTTCCGTGACTTCCTAACGCTGATCTGCTTTAAGGGTTGTCCATCCTTCCCTATGGAGCTCCCTGGCCCCATATGGTGCCAGCAAGGACTATTTCAGCTTTCCAAACCTAAACTTTCTACTTGGGCTGGGCTGGTTCATAAATAAGTGATGGTGTCCTTCAGATCATGTGGAGAGCTCAGGTTTGGAAAGTTGAAATAGTCCCTGCTGAACTTTAGGATGTACTTGTATGTGGCTAAATAGAGTCCCAGGGGATGTTGGTCATTGAATAGCACAGCAGAAAGAAATGCAGGAAAAGCACTCTTTTACAAATTCAGGAGCGTGTTACGCTCCTGCTCTCCCAGAAGCTCCTCAGCAATTAAATGATTTAAGGCAACTGCAGGAAAGCCTGGAACAATGGCCAGTGCAGGAAGGATGTTGCAGGTGGATACAGCACATTTGTGTCAAGGTGCAGAGCTGAAGAGAAGTCAGCACGGCTCCAGCAGGCACCAGCTGTTATTTTGGGACTTTTCAGTATGTTTTTAAAAGCATCCCATGGATGCAGAGCTGAGGAGAAAGTCAGGCTGTGTCAGTACTGGGTGGGTTTACACTGTAAAGCTGGTATTTATTCTGTGGCCTCTTCACTGCAGAAGTGTAAACTAAAAGGGGGTGAAGTGAAAAGGGAATGGGTATTAGCACTGCTATGGGGAGAGCCGGGGTGAAAGTTGAGGGCAAGACTAAAGAAGAAGCTGATTCAGTTGATTTTGGAGTCAGGATTTTGAGAGAAGAGGGTGTTTCTCATGAGCAAGGAGCCCATGGGCTCTCCAGGCACAGCAGCTGTAGGACAGCAGTGGTGGGGATAAGGTGAATCTGTGACCTACATGGTATTCAAATTCTGCCCAAATTCCAGTTCTCTCCAAATTCAAATTCTCTGCTGGCCATTATTCATTTTCCATTCATAAACTTTACTGAAGTGGCGAGCAGCCGAGGGGTGAAGTCAGCCATTCACAAACACTTCTGATAGTCACCCCAGACTCTGGTTAATGAGTCATACTGAGCCGTGAATACATCCTGAACGTCAGGATCCTTTCACATGCTGAAGGAAGTGTTGCAATTTTACTCACTTGATCTGCATATTACTCTCTGGAGGCTTCCATCCCAATGTGTTTCTTCTTACAATAATTCAGGGGCACGTTATGAAATCTGGGATTCCGCAAAATTCGAGCAGAGCTCTTGCTGAGCATGACATTTAGGATCTTAAATTCTGCACCATGATGTGTCAAGCATATGGCCACATAGCAACACACTAAAATGTGAATTTGCTCCGTGTTGCAGGAGGAATCCTGCACGTGACCATGGAGGGCTCTGCTCAGACAGTGCAGGAGCACACACACTGCAGCTGTAAGTCAAGGGGAGAATACAACTCTGCAGGGCTTTTCTGCAGCCTTACAAGCCTGCTTGTGAGTGAAAGTGCAGAGTTAACAGCTAAAGGCCAAAGATTTTCCCTGTAGGTGACACTTGCCATGCTAATTATAATGTGACTTTTGCCTGAATAATAATGGCAAGTGCCAGGGAAGGGGTGAGGAAAGAGAACAAGCTCCTTCACTGTAAATATTTATTGTTGAAAATACCCTGGAAGAAATACTTCTGAGAGTCTCGTTTCACCTTGGCCTTAATGCTGCTGGTATGGCTGAGCTGGCAGTGACACCCTGTGGTACCAGGCGCTGTCGTTCAGGAGTTCACTGTAAGACTCCAAGAGCAAAAAGTCCAGGGATGTTTCTAATTCCTCTTCAGTGGACCAGACTTTCCGTCCTCCCAGAGTGCCCTTGCACTAAGAAGGATGCACGTTCCTGGATTTAAATGCCCTGGAAGTAGCTCTGGCCTGACTCATATCTCTTGGCTTTACAGCGAGAGGACTCAGCCGCAGGAACAAACCCGGATCGCATCACAGTGCACCTTTGCCATGGCTCTGTGAAAGTGCTTGCCCTGGTGAGCCAGGAAAGCTTGGGGGGGGGCTCATTTTGGGTATTTTCTCTTTTTCAGGGGGTCCACGAGTCCAAAGGTGTGACTGAAGATTACTTGAAGCTGGAATCCCTGATCCAGAAGGTCGTGTCTCCTTACTTGGGCACCTACGGTCTGTACTCCAGTGACGGACCCTTCACCCACTCTTCCTGCATCCTGGGTAAGAATATGGGCTCCATCTGGCACAGCACAAAACCTTGCTCTGTACAATGCCAGGATCCTCACAAGAGACAACTTGCAGTACTCACATGAGGCAGTCAGGCTCCTTTTCTACGCCCCTGCTCTTCGCAGTGTGCAGAGTCACAGTGAAACTTGCCACTGGCAGAAGATGAAAACAGATCATCATAACAGTGCTCAGTAATAAAAATCAGTAAAAATTAGTCTAGAGTGTGTTTAGCACTGCCATTCTGCCTTTTAACAAGTCAGCTTTAACACAGGGTGTTTTATGGACAGGGAGAGGAAGAAGCAAGAAGCCACTTCTGAAGTGCTCGGTAGTTCATTAGAGTTCATTGGCACACAAAGATCCTACAAGGCTGTTAAAATTAGGGAAGAGAGCAGGAATTTGTCTTAGAGCAGACTAATGCATAAGCCTTTAAACATGTAAAAGCTTTCTGCAGAGTAGAAGGTAATGAGGTGTTCTCCATCCCAGTGGAGGTAAGAAAAATAGAGTGAGCCACGCATTGCAGGTGAAATTCAGGTTACATGGAAGGAAAAAATCTCTAATGTCACATGAACTGCCTCTGGAGGCTGTTAAGTCTTTGCTGTGAGGCACTTTATACATGTCACGTACATCAACATCCATAAGGAGCAGGGGGGGTAAACGTGGCCCAGCCTGGTGGCAGAGGGTGAGGTAGTACCTTCTTGAGTCCCCTGCAGCTTATTTTCTGTGATACTTTGAGCTCTGAAGCATCCTGTGACTTCTGTGAAAGGCAAGATTTGGCCAGGTTAAGGCCTTTTGAATATCCCCCATAGCAGTTCAGTCTGTTGAAAATGCAAGGGGGATACAACCAGTGTAAATGAAAAAGGAAATGTGGTAGTACCTGAGTATTTTAATGTAAATACTGTGATGGCCTGCTTGAATAGAGCAAACAGAGGGGAAAATCAGTTCAATTGTGTGTTTTCTGTGCAGTCAATTTAATCTGTTTGCTTGTCAGAAATGGTCAGTAAGGAAGTTGATTTTCCCTTGAAGCTGAAGGAAGAGTGGTTGTGTTGCAGTAGGCATTTAAGAAACAAATCAGTTTTAGGTGAATAAATAGAGGCCAGTTATTTATGGAAAATGGTTCAGAATTACCACTTTGTATTCAATGCTTGCCATTAAAATGCCACAAGCATTTAAATGGAGCACCAAACTGACAGTTTTCTGAATACAAGCTTTTGTATGTCAGGACAGAAAAAATTCACCCAAAGAGAATTAAGCACCAGTGAAATGAATTGTTAGAAAATAAATGTTGTATTACATGACTGCAGAAGACAGGAAGGTTCTGGTGGGCCTCTTGCTGTGGTCTGGGGGTTGGAGCTGTAGCAGAACCCCTGAACAGGTCTGACTGTAATCACTGAGCCTGGACCCAGGGAAGCTGAGTGCTCAAGTCTCTGCTGCTTTTAAACTGATGCATCCACTTCTGTCCAGCTGCTTTGGTAACACTTGACATGTTGTGACCAAAAGCCAGCAAGGCAGCCCCAGGAAACCTCTGTTTGCCAGGTCAAACTCCTAACAAAGAGAAAGTCCAAAAGTGAACTTGGCTCAGTTGATTTCACTGTCTGCTGTCACAGGCACAACTGCCAAATACAATTTAAGTACAGAAACTGGCTTTTTTAGTAGTACAGCATATGACCAGGTAAGCACATAATTACATATAAGTATATAAGTATAATTTTGAGTGACTGGCACTTGTAAAGGAAATTGCATGGTTTGCAGGGAACATATACCAGCATCCTGATTTAAAGCAGACAATTTATTTTCAGTGCCTGTGGCTGACTTCCAGAGGGTGTTTTGATCCCTTGCTCCAGCCATGCCCCTTTCATGGGATGGCAAAATGAGAGGAGCAGGAAGAAAGCTTCCAAAGTGAGACCTATTATTCACATCACTTTCTCTTTTGTTAGCACCAGTGAGTCTGAGCAAACAGTTTGCATGGTGGTAATTTTTAGAGCACTCCAGCCTTAAACCTCTGCTGGAGAAAATGCTCTGTGCTCCCGTGCTGCCACCTGCTGCCTATTTTTTGGAAAAATCCCACTTGCTTAACAGCTGCGTTTGGGCAATCAGTGGCTCGAGTGCAAGTTTGTTCCCCAAAAATAGGTTCCTGTGGGCACTGCCCTCCAGTTACCATTTCCAAACACTCCTGGTGCTCTCCCCACATATGGTCCATGAATGATGCTTTGAATCTAATTTTAACAGAGTTAATAGAAAGACTGCCTGCCTTAATCCCCTAATTTAAAGAGACTTGATTTTTCCAGGGTAGGTGGAAAACTTAAAAGTTCACCTGCTAGAAATGAGTGATGATAGCCTGAACAAGAGCACAGCTACACTTTCTGCTCTTGTATAAAGAAAATATTTACAATTTTATATCACCTCTCCCACAATATTTACTGTTTTGCTCCAGCTGCCGAAGTTGTATAAATATAAGTGAATTGCAGCTGTTATTTCCTAATATAGGTTTGGGGTCTTCGGTATGATTAAGAAAAGCAGTAAATCTGAAGGCTGTGGACCTACAAAACCAGTGAAACATGTTCTTTGATAAAAGTTTATGTCATTCAGGAGAGGGCCCGTGAATTTTGAACACTCGTAGTTATTAGTGCCATAAAAATAGAGTTTGTGGGTATGACTCTGGGTGCTTCTGTGTTCACAGAGAAGAGGTTCTTCAGGCGCTCCAAGTCTGGTGATATCCTGGCCAAGAACCCCGTGGTGAGGTCCAAGAGCTACAACAACCCTCTGCTGACGCCCGTGGCCGAGTACGAGACGGAGGGCATGGCCTCCAACGGGACCGGCATCCGCAGGCACTCCGTGTCCGAAATGACCTCCTGCCTCGAGCTCCAGGGCTACTCCAACCTCACCACCATCATGGACAACGGCTCCAAGAGCTCCGTGACGACCACGAAGAGCTCCGTGTCGGGAGAGCAGGAGAGGCCCAGCACCGGGTCGGTGCAGTGCTCCGGCAAGCTCAGCGCAGCCGAGCAGCAGAAAGGACTCTTCCACCCCGTGGACGACCCACACAGGTCTTTTGAACTGGACAGAGACCCTTCCTTGATTCCAGTTCCCTCTTCCAGCCCCGAGAACATAGTGGATCAGATTTTGGAGTCGATCGACTCGGATTCCGAAGGCATTTTTATTGATTTTGGCCGGGGCTGTGCCAATTCCTCAGCGTACAACGTGGACGTGAACAGGCAGAGCATCATGTGAAGGAGACTGGGAGACAAACCTTGGGTTTTAGTATTATATATGGAAGTTACTAACACAAGGAGCCAGACTGTGGGCCAGCTGTTTATTCCAGGGCAGAACCTCTGCTGTAGGTCACCACAGCTCTGCTGAAGTAAAGAAAAACAAGTTTGCAGCAGGCAGGAATCTGCTGCGAGGGGGGAGAAACTCCAGCCACTTCTCCCTGTCACTCTGCAGTCGGATTTCCTACTGTCTTTATGAACTTGGGGGTTCACAAGCTGACAAGTGTCTGGTAAAAAGCTCTCGGTGCAGCCGGCAGTGTTTGTTCAGTAGAACAGCCCAGCAAATAGCTGTGCTCACTTTTAATTTTCTAAAGAGATTTCCTGCAGACGACAGGTTGTTGTTCTCTGTAACACCTCAGCCAGGGTAAAAACGTATCCTTTAAAAAAAAGAAAACCAACCAAACCAACCCCAGAGGCTGTGGGCCTTTATACCACAGAATACAGCGATAAAGAAGTCTCTTTTAATCGTTTTCTTGTACATCTTGTATGCACTCGTTTGCCTAATGGTGAATGAGGGTTCTCGGAGAAAGGCAAATAAACAGAAATGTGCTTCCTGATGTCACGCCACGCCTCGTGTCTCATGTTCTGTTTCACAGCCAGTACTTGGTGTCTGTGAGAGAGTTGTCTGGCAACTGGCTTTTAATTGTGTGTGAATTTGCTTGGAATGTGACACTTCCAAGAAATCTGCGCTGTCAACTCCTGGAGCACCCGTTGTACGGAGAGATTCCATGACAATTCGACCTGCTTGTTTCCTTAATAAACGAAAATGTGGCCTCTCTGGGGAAATCCTAATTGTATATTTATGTTCTTAAAGAAATGCCATAATGCCCACGCTGTCTTTTACGGGTAGATACTTGGGGAGTGTGAACCTTGCAACCCTCGTCCTCCTAAGATCTGTGTCAGAGGGTCGATACACAGGATACTGAGGTGAAGTAGAAATCCTGGAAAATCCTCAAGTCATACTTTAAAGTTTCTCTTAGGCAGAGAAAAAGAATTGATAAATAATGGCTTCTGCGTCCCAACAGTCTCAAACCTCAGCCAGGGAACACGCGATGTGGGGCAGAATCAGGGAGGAGAGAGGGGCTTAACACCGACTGGCAGCAGAACATGCCCTCAGTGGGAGCAGCTCTGGTGTCTGGGAGGATCTTTGGGGTCCAATCGATGAAGTGGTTTAGGAAGCAGACACCAAACTATCCCTCTGAATTATTACTTAACTTGGAGCAAAAGGATATCCACAGCCGTGTTCTGAGGAATATCCAAAGATAAGATTCAAACCTCTACAGGAAAATATAAAAAAAAATCTAGTGGATCAAGGCCTCTAAACACCTTTTTCCTTTAAGGAACTACAAATTTATTAATAGTCATAAGCTTATTTAATAATTGGGGAATATTTAAGCAGAGTTTCAAGGGAGAAAGGACTACTGGGATCCTTCCCACCCGAGCTTTTGCATGGTAAGTGCCCTCCCCTCTGGTAGAAGAGTGTGCTGGCAATGAACTGACTTCTCCCACCTTGCACAGTCAAAATCCTCCTCTGAGGAGTGTTCCTTGACTTGAAATGTTGCACAGATGAGAAAGACTACCCGAATTTGTGATGCTCCTACTGGTAATCCCAATGCAGGCAGGTCAGGGATATGGTGGTTTTAGGGACAAACCAGGGAGTCATTACAAAAGCAAGATGTGTAGCACAGAGAATAGTGCAGGTTCTTGCCAAAATGTGTTTATGAAGTGATGCCTTTGAGCTTCCAAATGCAGTGTGCCAGTTACTCCTCTCCACCTTTCCTTTGTTGTGGTAAATTGTGGCATTTTGTATCCTAATCCGAGGATCAAAAGCTCTCTGCTCTTTCCCTGGCTGGGACAGGTTCCAAAGCCCTACTGAGGATAACACAGAGCAACAGATAGCACTTACAGCTCCTGTCATCTGGCACTGCAGGGTGAGCATTAAGCAAGCAAGGGGAACTGGGAGACTAACCTAATGAACAGCTGCTGAGTCCTGTGGAGAAGTGCTACAGCTCCCTGGAGCACTGCTGGAAACAGCAGAATAATTGGCTGCAAATAATGCTGCCCAAATAGAGGCCTTTTGTGTCAGAGAAATGGGGAAAAATTACTTTTCCAGTATTCAGTTATCTCCTGGCATGCGAGTTTGGATGGGGCTTTTGACTAAAACAAACACCTGAACAACTGAGCTGTGATGACAGAAGAGCTATGGGCCACCTTCTAGGGCCACCATACTGACATGAGAGAGTGTGAAAATAACTGATCTCTCTACAGTTCTGCTGGACATGTATGGATTGCCCCTTTATTAGGATAATATGCTCAAAGAACATCTTGGAAATGATGATATCAGAAAGCCTTTAGTGTTACTTTTGAACTCTAGTCTACAGAGGTGTGACTGTCATGCCAGAACTTTGAGAAAAGCACCAAAATCTGGAGGCAGGGAGCAGAAACCCAGATACCAGTTGAGCCAGCAGTGCTGCAAAGAACATACGTAGCCATTTTAATAATGCATAAATCAGTGCTACTGTGCTCTCCAAGAGAACAAAATGCTTGGTTTGCAGCTGAAGTCTTCCTTGCAGCTTTCCCTAAAGGAAAAAAATACACTTTTTACAGGAGAATAAATGTATTTTGTGTCAGAGAGCCTTTTAACATCCCTTTCTCTTCATGTGGTATGGTAGCAGCAGCAGCTTGCTGTGCTCAGTGCTTTGAGAGGTGCCAGTCTCTTCTTTCTGTGAGAAGGGAGGAGGTGGTGCGTGGGACTGGAGGAGCTGACCAGCACCTCGAGCTGGGTGCAGGGTGATGGGTGCCAGGAAAGCAGCTGGGCCACTGTGTCCCCTAAAATCCAACCCAGAACTGCTTGAGGCCGTTTGCCTTAAAGGCTGTTCCTCAGGCTGCACTGGCTCAGCTTCCAGCCCACTGGAGAAGTGCAGCTGGAGGCATCCAGGGTGGTCACTCCATATGGCCTGGAGGACCTCAGGGCTGTTCTCTGATGTTACTGATAGGTGAGGGATCTCTGGGGGGTGGAGATTACACCGAATGAGTGAACTCCCCGAGCTAGTGAGAGAAATCCCTGAAAGTGTTCAAATGTTTTGTGTGGTCCCAGGACACTGCAGAAAAGCAGACATGAACTCCCCCAGATGCTGTGTGTTGGCCTAGTTGCTCTATCAAAACCAGGGGTTGAACTTGATTGGCTTCATCAATTAGGTTAATGAGTCATCTCCCTGCAATCTCCTGCCTCTCTTAAAGCTGCTGCTTCTCTGTAGCACCCTCAGAAGGCACCTCTTGGGGTGATCAGCAGAAAGGAGCTGGCTCTGACTGAGTCTCAATGTCATAATTACTCTGGCGTTTCAATGTTCTCCAGTCAGGTAAGTTGACTGGTAATTAAATAATGAGCACAGCCTATTCTTCCACAAATGGTGCCCCCCCCCACCCCGGGTCTTGTGTTGCATCCTTGGATTAGGAGCTGCCAGCTCTCCTGCCTGGCAGCAGGATTGCCTGCCTGGGAGAGGAGCTGCCAGGGTGCTCTGCCAAAGCCACAGGAGAGAGGGAAGGGAAAGCTGGGGGTGTGAACAGCCATGGAACTGCTGGGCTAGTAAACCTGCCAGAAGTTTACTGTGAGTTAGCTGTCTTTGTGAAACGAGGTACCGCAGGCTAAGCTTGTATTTCTGAGGGTCTGCATCAGCATTTTTGCCTAAAGATTGCGAACTTTTCCAGAATATGTTTATTTCCTAATTATTTTAGGACGAAATATTTTTCTCCCTTGCAAAAGCAAATACTCTTAGGCAGTTTTAGCTTTCTAAATCCTCACCCTCTGAACTCTGGGTTTGGAAACCAGGATTTGAAGAGAATTCTTAGAGCACTGTTGTCTTAACAATGCAGATTAGTCGGGATCAGATTGCTGGGCTGGGACTCAGAGGCTGAGATGCCTTAATTCCGTGTCCTCCATGGGCTTTTTGCATAGATTTAAGTCACTTAATAGCTCTATACCTCTTCAGAATGTGGGGATAATGTTCTTACCTGTCTTTCTTCACTTCAAGTTATTTAGTGGATTGTCTGTTGCTTAAAGGTTTCTTGATAAAGCGTCCACAGTGAGGAGAGGAGGCTGTGGATTGGGGAATTGTAAATTAGCAATGCACCCCTAACATTTCTGTGTTTAATTGTGGTGCCATCATATTCTTTTAGTTTAACTGCATCCCTAATTTATACGTGCTAATTAATTCTTATTTATCATCCATTCCCTATCTATCTACATGTCTTTGTCTTTCCTCCCAATTGTGATCTTCACTGTTACATTTGCAGTGTCACTAAGCTCTCTTTCTTTAGCTGATGTTACCTTTTTAATACTTTGTGAGATATGAGCACTTCCATGGCTTTTTTTTTCCCCCTCCAGTGCATGTTACTTTCTTCCTACAAGCTTTGAGCTTTCTCTTGCCCATTACTCTAAATAGTTTCCTCTACAATTTCTCATGTTCTGGCCTGAATATAGTCAGTAATCCCCCAGGATCAAATATCTCTGCTTCATGCTTCATTCATCTCTCCCAATCAAAAAAACTGGAAGGCATTAAGATTGATTTCCAATGAGGAAAATTTATCTTCCCACTTACAGTAGTTTTGTGGAAAATTGAGCTCATAATATTCTATTCTTCATGATCACTCAAACTGGTTTTTTTTCCCAGATAAAGATGTAAAGGTTGCTAGTTTGTGAGCTTTTGGATCATACCCTCAGGCATACGTTAAAATACAGATATGGTATTTGTGCTCTCCAGTTCTCTACAGTAAAATCTCTCTGTCAGAAATGCTCCCTTGGCTGGGAATTATTAAACCACTTCATTCTTAAACCTTGTGGGTATGGAATCATCTGGGATGGCAACACACTACAGGAAGCTGGAGAAAGCTGGCAACCCTTGGGGTGTCCACAGGCTATCCCTTTACATGATAAGATAGAGAAGGAAAAGTAGAAATGGAAATGCTGCACCTAAAAATTGGAAGCAGAATGGGATGAGGGTGCCAGAGCAGACAAAAGATGCAAATCATTTGAGGCAAAACTTAACTGACTTCAAATGCAGTTTAGATTCGATATTAGAATAAAGGATTCTTCCCTATGAGGGTGGGGAGGCCCTGGCACAGGTTGCCCAGAGAAGCTGTGGCTGCCCCATCCCTGGGAGTGTCCAAGGCCAGGTTGGACGGGGCTTGGCTAGTGGGAGGTGTCCCTGCCCATGACAGGGGGTGAAATGAGATGATCTTCAAGATCCCTTCCAACCCAGGCTGGTCTGTGATTCTATAATTCTAATATCTCACCCCACATCTTTGCCAGCAGCTTCGTAATGACTCTATTCTTAAATCTTGTTCAAGCCTCCCTGGGGGAGGAGGGTGAGCAGGAATTATTCTGAAGAAAAAGGTTGTACACAGCTCCTGAGTGGAGAAATTTAAAGTTTGTGGGGGGGGGAATTTCTCAGGGTAAGGGTGGAAAACATTTTAAGTTTCACTGGTTCAATTTAAACCCTGATCTGCCATACAAGTGTTCTCGATCTTTGGCAAAGTTGGCTTTTAAATTTATTTTTAACGG